TTGGGATGTTTTATTCCTAGTGCCAATTTTTTTTATTTGAATACAATTATATAATTTAATGAAATGTTAATGTAATTCAATACAAGGCATATGAAATATGTTGCAACCATGAGACATAAAATGTATATTTTATATCATTAGATATTATTCAGTTTTTTCTGCCCTTCTGTCTGTGAGCTTGATTTCCTAATTCAGTATGATATAAAAAAAATTAAATCGTTTTATTAGTGTTTTTAAAGTATATTGCAATCTTTGAAATAATGTTTTTATGATGGTTTTTAAAATAATGTTTGAATTGTATTGTATAACTTGAATTACTATTGTGTTAATTTCAGATTCCGCTCTGGTAGGATCCTTCCACAGATCTGCAAAGGGCCTGTGTATGAACTCATGAGAGTCTCAGCATTGGGATTTATCCTCACTAGATGGATAGTGGAAGAATATTGGTAATAACCAAAATATAGTGTATGTTGTAAAATGTCATTAAGTTTATGCTCAAAGAGAATGTTTATTTTTTATTTTTTATTGAGAATCACTGTGTTAATTTATATTTGGAAGATGTGGAGGTTTGTAACCTTCTCAGCGAGCAAATACAAGATAAACATTAGACTTGTTAAATGCTTACTTCCTGTGATGGGTCACACCCAGAGCAGGACCACGGTTGTTTAACTTTGAATAATCCTACTCTACATCACTTTCTGTCTGCTTGTGTGGTGGTTATAAAATGATGATTATCAGTTTCGGAACAAGGAAGTTAAACCACAAACAGGGAAGTAGCTTGTGTTGCTCTTTTCTAAATGTATTTTTAAAAGTGGGCGAAGGGAGATTGACACAGTCACCAGTCATATCTATTGCAATATTTTCTGTGAAATTATATTTTATTAAGTTTATTTAAAAACTTGACTAAGTTTTGACTAAACCATGCAAGTGTGATTCGACATGAGTTACATACACATACAAAAAAACAATCCTGCTTTGACTTTGTGTTAAAAGGAAGTGTTTAATTTCTGGGCTTCTTGTGGCACCAATCAGAACTGCAGTCTGTATGGATGGCCTCAACCAATGGTGTGAGTTTGACAAACAACAGTAGACCGGAGAGTGTTTGAAAGTCATTATTTTTGCAATTCTGTTTGATAGACAGAAATTTCACACTTCACAGTTTTAAAGTTATGTATTTCTCCAGATCATTTACAATTGAACTCCCCCCCCCCCCCCCCCCCCCAAGACCACATTGAGCTGTCAACCTCACTTTGTGTCGTCCTTCATCTCAGCAGACGTTAATGCACGCAGATGTTTCTTTTCTTCTTTTCATTCTAATCTAGTCCGGTGGTACAGCTTCTGCGCCAGCTCGGTTTGACATTAGTTCGGCGATGGAGGCTGATACCTCACTCTGCCAATTGAGATATCAGTTTACTCTGAATGTACTATGGTACTTGATGAAAATGTCAAATCACTACCCTAATAAGCAAAACCCAGACATCACTTTGTCATAAGTGAGATTTGCACTATTGATGACCTCAGACTCATTATCTGAGGAACTGTAAAAAAAAAGAAAAAAAAAAGATAAATGTTTTATTCCAGTGTATTAGGACATACATATATTGGGCCGGCATTTCACCAATGTCAAAAATAAAAACCTACATAATTTAACAAAAATATACAAAATATACAAATATAAATATACAACAATGCACATTTCAACACTTAAAATGAAAGCATTTTACAAAAACAAATAAAAGTATTGAAACAGCCACATACTGTATGTTGAGAAAACCAAACATTTTTGACGTGACATGCATGCTATTTTCACAGCACATTATGTTAGGGAGATCGAACTTTTGAACTAACAGAGTATTTCTGAATTGTTTCTGAATTGTTGTGGGAAAAAATAGCACCATCTACTGAGAGGCGTGGGCATGGTGGAGTAAGCCACTAAGTCATAATGTTTATGAAACTAAAACTCTAAAGACAATATGCAAGTACTTGAAATAATACAGTAGTTTGGCTAGTGTTCTCAACAACACTGAGACTGTATTCATGATATGTGACTTGCATGCTCAGCTATGTCCTGTTTCACAACAATGCAGTGGTGCCAGTTTATCTGTATACAAACAATAAGATTTTAAGTATATTTAAGGTAAATTTATGAACTCATCACGAGTAATTAATCTAAGTACAGATTAAGTGATATAAAATAGAAAGTACTTGATGTTGGTTGTTTGAGTTCTAGATTGGTTTTAGGGAGCACTGATAGTCTTAAACTGTCTTTTTTACAGGTTTCCAGAAACACAATAGTGTCCACTCTATATGATCTTAAAGGACCTCAATTCTTTTAAATGCTGTGCAATCACCATAACTTTTTACATAAGTTAAACTGTAAACGAGAAAAGCAATGAGCACACGTTTTTAATTAATGAATTCAATTCATTCAAATGATTCATATCAATCATAATTATATTTAAATGGGTCATATGATGCGATTTTAATTTTTCCTTTCTCTTTGGAGTGTTACAAGCTCTTGGTGCATAAAGAAGATCTGTAAAGTTGCAAAGACTAAAGTCTCAAATCCAAAGAGATATTCTTTATAAAAGTTAAGAGTCAACCACGCCTACCTAAAACGGCTCATTCTAACACGCCCCCACATATCTATGTCACGATTTGGGAAGATTTGCATAACGCCGCCCAAATGTTCATGCAAAGAAAGAAGGCGTAACTTTTATTTTCGCTGTAGTATTGTTGTCACCGCCGCCATGTCGTGAAGAGCTGTGTGTTTGTGTTCTGTGTGTTTCGTTGTGAAAGCGAAACTACTTTGTTTGGCCTTCCAAAAGAGGATGATATCCGCTTCGTCATGCCTGGAACTAATCCGTGCTGGTCACTGAGGAAATACATCAACTTTGCGCTGTGGATC